TGTCTGAACCTTTTCTCCATGTGATAAAGTCTAGTGAGTGCTATTTGTCTTGAATCACGTAAATTATTTTCATGTGAATCTTTGAATGGTAAGCGCACTACATAGCGCCCGTTATTGTTTCTTGTGTGTGTTTTTACATAGTGTTCTTCACATTGTTGATCAAGTTGTGATGAAGGTTTCTCAAGTTTGTATTCTTCTATCTCCCAAAACTTGCGTAATAATTGATCATCCTCTACTAGATTTGTTGTAACTAACATTGTATGTGCAAGTCGATCAATTTGTGTCTGGGTGGCGCCTGACACTAACCATCCCAACCGTGAGTTTTGTACAATGCGAGATCTATATTTATGTAAACCTTCTAGTATAATTGAAGCATATACTTGTGCTCCTAACAAAATATCGATGGGCCCTGGCTTGTGTAATCGTGGGTCTGCTAACTTTAGCTTCATAATACCAGGCCATTGTGAAATACTTAATTCACGTGAAGGCAATAATGGTGTCAATTTCGGTAGTACATGAGCTTTAACTTGCAGTCCATACTTTGAATCTACTATTGAGTGAATATCAAATTGAACTACATGTGTTTTAATAGCGTTGTTTGCTATACCTGTAATATTTGCTCCATATCGTGTCTCCTTCAAACCTAAAAGCTGTACAGCAGATTCTGTAATAAAAGTTTCCTGAGAGCCTTGATCTTCAAGAGCTCGCAGATGCGTTAGATTACCGTTTCTGTTTTTCACACCAATCAATGCTGTAGCAAGAACAACTTGGTTTTCATTTACGGAGACTCTTAAGCTCGTGACATTTGGTAAGTTTCAACATGTTTTTTTTTCTTCAGATGTGCTCGCAGGTTCTGCAATTATAGTTTAAGCAGCGTATGTAGTCGAGTGTAATAGAGTGTGGTGTTTTTTGTTACATTTTTTACAAGTTCTATCTTGTCTACAAAACTTGATAGAATGGCCTTTCACTAGGCAATTGAAACAAAGTGCGTTATTCTTAACAAATGCTCTTCGTTGCTCTACATTCAATTGTGTAAATTCTGTGCAGTGACAAATATGTGTGATGCTTCTTACAATAAGTACATTCAGCATTAACTTCAGCAGAAAAAGCCTTATGGATAATAGGTTTTGTTTCACCTGTCATGTGTGGATTAGCCTGTGATGATTCCTTTTTTTCTTTTTTTCTGAACATTTTGTACCATCTCCATCGCTGTAAAGCGTCCTTCAAATAAGAGGTTAACGCGTTATACTTAGGTAGATCCGTAGAAGATCCCAATGATTGTTCCCAACATTTGTGAGTTTCAATATCTAATTTAGATACGACAATATGTACTATCATAGGATCCCAATTGGTAGTGTCGATATACAAATTAGCCAGACTGTTGAAACATTCATTTGTGGTATCTAAGAGTTCCTTTAAATCCTTTGAGCATTCTACGGTGAGTTTCTTTTGATTCATTAATCGTGTCAATATACCGATGGACTAATGTTTCCCATGCCTTCTGGTAATTAGCAGCAGTGATATCTAAATGACGAAACAGTTACTCAGCTTCACCTGATAAGTTTGACCTTAAATACTGATGTTTTTAGATGTCTTTCAGTCCTTTTTCATTATGTATCAATGAACTGAACAAATCTTTAAAATTAAGCCAATCTCGATAATTACCATAGGACGTAAGAAGATTGATGAGTGGTAACTTTGTTTGTGAAAGGCTAGTACTTGCAGTAGGTGAACTATGAGATATTGATGTAGAATTATGTGACGAGATATTTTCTTTTAAAATTGTTTTAAATTCTAAGTATAAAATTCTTCGGTTTGAGAGTACAATTCTTTCAACATTTTCTTTTCCTCTTTACTCATATCTGTACGAATTAATGACATATATTCCGTAGTAAATTTTTGCCAATAATCTTGTAATAACTCACTTCTAGTTTCAACATAACTAATTGTATGACGAATTATAGGCGTCTTTTTATAATTTGTATATAACTTAGTTAATTGCTCTAATAATTCGTTGCATACATCAATCATTGCTATTGTGTGTAAATTATATCATCAAATCAATTTCTAAGTATTATTGTACTGATTTATATTGTAGTACTTTTCGTAAGTTATTGTTAAAATTTATAACATAATATGTTCAGACTTAGAACAGTTTAGGTAATAATTTCTATAGTCGCTGTTTAGACCAGATCGTAATATTTTAAAAACTTGCATCAAGACGCGCGCGCGGCGCGTTCATTCGATGGTATGAGTCACAGCCTGGCACCCCCCGCGCGCGTCCCTCCGCTCACCGCTCGGTCGCTCGACGCGTGGGCGAAGTATAGTATTGTTTGCGACCGTTGGTTGGTTGGGAGCGGCCGGTGTTGTTAATTGTGCGCGTACGCCGAGCCGATAAGAAGGCCTGGAATTTTGCGCTCGGAACCGCCTCCTTTGAGTTGCCTTATTACGTTCGTATATTTGATAACGAGGCTGGTCTTATTATATAATTCTTTGTTGTAATAGTTTTGTGAGTTGGGCGCGGACGCCGTGTAAGTCTAGAAGCTACTCTCGTATAGTTGGGTCGCATGTCGACTGCCTCGGATAGCGTTGTCTAATCTCGTACGTTTTACGTGGCAACGAGGCTAGTCGTGCTTTGTGGCATTTTAATATCGTGCGAAGGAATTTTGCTTTGTCGTGTGGAACGCTGTACTTTGTGACTCGAGAAGAGATCGTGTTTGTGCTCGATGATAATTTGTTGCTAAGTGAACATGGAATCTTGAACTTTGACCGACCGTTCTTAAGTTGTGCCGTGTGTCACTTGTTTTAATTTCGGTTAACGTGGATTTAGTTAAATTTCAAGTTAATTAAATGTATAATAAAGTTGATAAACTAATATAGTGAAATAAAAGTTGAAAGTTTCAATTGGTGAACGCCCACTGGAGTGATCGCACATTGTGCAGAAAAGCAGCGCCTGTGGGTCTGCTCTCGGATTGGATCGGACGTCATGTTACATTTACACACTTTCACACGCTACTTACATACACCTCACTTACCACCTGACCGGTACCCTGTCGTCAACCCTACCTCCGGAAATTGGATTTTTTGTTTGCTTAGCAGCCATTAATAATAATCCATAGGCCATTGGGCCCGAACCCTCGGCTGCTCGTCGAGGAGGCTACTATGGGCCCTAGCCCAGTGGACTTTTGCCAGGGCAGCTGAGAGCCGTAACGGCCGCTGTAATTACCTTTATTCGAAACTTGTAGGACCAATGTTTACACCACTACTTATTTTAAATTAAACACTGCACATAAATTTTTTTGTAATATTTTATTTGTTGAAAACGTCACATTGCTTTTTCTACATATTTTTCATAAAACATTCTAAATTAAAAACTCTTTCCACACGTGGCACCAACTATCGTTCGTCATAAAAACTAAACTTAATCGTCTAAACATCCTTGTTCTCCAAAATAATGGAATCCGTTATAAACTGCCACCTCATGCGGTACCTTGAGGATCACCAGCTGATTAGTGACCGCCAATACGGTTTTCGTCGGGGTCGATCAGCTGGTGATCTTCTGGCTTACTTGACTCATCGATGGGCGGAGGCAGTAGAGTCCAAGGGGAAGGCATTGGCCGTTAGTTTGGACATTGCGAAGGCCTTCGATCGGGTTTGGCACAAAGCGCTTCTTTTGAAGCTCCCTTCCTATGGGCTTCCCGAGAAATTGTGCAATTGGATCATCAGCTACCTTGCAGATCAGAGCATCAAGGTCGTTGTAGACGGTGCATGCTCCGACTACAAACCTATTAACGCTGGTGTTCCACAAGGCTGCGTGCTATCACCAACGCTATTTCTTCTGCATATTTATCAATGATATGTTACAAACCGGTAGCATTCATTGCTATGCGGATGACAGCACTGGTGATGCTCTTTACACCGGCCGTGCCAATATTTCTCGGGAAAACGTCGCCGAGTACCGAAACAAACTTGTGTCTGAAGTCGAGTCTTTGCTGAACAAAGTCTCGGATTGGGGGCAACTAAATCTAGTCCAGTTTAATCCTCAGAAGACACAAGTTTGCGCGTTTACCGGTAAAAAGACCACTTTGTCGTATCTCCTCAGTTTCAAGGCACTCCCCTTGTTGCCTCAACCAGTATCAGAGTCGTGGCGTCGACATATCGAATGACGTGCAGTTTCGTGGTCACTTGGAAGAGAAGGCCAAATTGGCCTCAAAGAAGCTTGGCGTGCTCAGCAGAGCGGGACAGTATTTCATGCCGGCACAACGCCTGCAACTTTACATGGCGTAGGTTTGGCCTCACATGGACTACTATTCCCTTCTCTACGCTGGGGCTCCCCAGTGCCAGCTCCTTCCACTTGACCGCATCCAGCGCAGAGCGGCTTGAATCGTCGACGACCGAGTCCTTTCCGATCGGCACGATTCATTGGCGCTGCGAAGAGATGTTGCATTTCTTTGCATTTTCTTTCGCATTTTCCACGGGGAGTGATCTGAGGAATTGTTCGGATTAATCCCAGCCGATAAATTACACGAACGAACATCGCGGCAGAACTCCCGATACCATCCATACCATCTGGATGATTGGCGGTCCACCACTGTGCGATTTAGAAGATGTTTTCTTCCTCGCACAACTTCCTTGTGGAATCGATTACCATCAGCGATTTTTCCGGACCGATACGACTTAGGGACCTTCAAGAAAAGAGCCTACTCCTTATTAAAAGGCCGGCAACGCATCTGCTATTCCCCTAGTGTTGCGGTTGTTCATGGGCGGCGGTAATCACTTATCATCAGGTGAGCCGCATGCTCGTTTGCCCCATCTCCTATAAAAAAAGTGTAGCCAATCTTGTCAGTGACACCTCTCACATATGGTAGTCTACAGCACGCACTCGCTCGACTTTGGCCGGATTCACTGGTTCAATAACAGAGGCGTAACAAAAGAGTGAATTTCAATAAGTATTATTTATAATCTATTTTGAACAAAAATGCTTGTTTCATAAATATCAGGCGACGTACGCGCGCAGCGTGGCGCTCCCGTTCGTGGGCGACTACGTGCGGCTGCGCGCGTCGGCGGCGTGGCGGCGCGGCGCGGGCGCGGCCGACGACCGCTACGTGGTGTTCGCGGACGCCGTGGGCAAGGTGGCGCGCTCCAGCGGCCGCACGGCGCGCTGCCTGTGCGTGCTCAGCACGGCCGCGCTGCTGCTGCTGGACGCGCGCTCGCTGCGCCTCAAGCGCCGCGTGCCCGCGCACACAGTCTACCGCCTCTCGCTCTCGCCCTACCACGACGACCTGCTCGTCGTGCACGTGCGCGCGGTACGTGCCACACACTATCTCTCTCTCTCTCTCGCTCCGCACGGCCGCGCTGCTGCTGCTGGACGCGCGCTCGCTGCGCCTCAAGCGCCGCGTGCCCGCGCACACAGTCTACCGCCTCTCGCTCTCGCCCTACCACGACGACCTGCTCGTCGTGCACGTGCGCGCGGTACGTGCCACACACTATCTCTCTCTCTCTCTCTCTCTCTCGCTCCGCACGGCCGCGCTGCTGCTGCTGGACGCGCGCTCGCTGCGCCTCAAGCGCCGCGTGCCCGCGCACACAGTCTACCGCCTCTCGCTCTCGCCCTACCACGACGACCTGCTCGTCGTGCACGTGCGCGCGGTACGTGCCACACACTATCTCTCTCTCTCTCTCGCTCCGCACGGCCGCGCTGCTGCTGCTGGACGCGCGCTCGCTGCGCCTCAAGCGCCGCGTGCCCGCGCACACAGTCTACCGCCTCTCGCTCTCGCCCTACCACGACGACCTGCTCGTCGTGCACGTGCGCGCGGTACGTGCCACACACTATCTCTCTCTCTCTCTCGCTCCGCACGGCCGCGCTGCTGCTGCTGGACGCGCGCTCGCTGCGCCTCAAGCGCCGCGTGCCCGCGCACACAGTCTACCGCCTCTCGCTCTCGCCCTACCACGACGACCTGCTCGTCGTGCACGTGCGCGCGGTACGTGCCACACACTATCTCTCTCTCTCTCTCTCTCTCTCTCTCGCTCCGCACGGCCGCGCTGCTGCTGCTGGACGCGCGCTCGCTGCGCCTCAAGCGCCGCGTGCCCGCGCACACAGTCTACCGCCTCTCGCTCTCGCCCTACCACGACGACCTGCTCGTCGTGCACGTGCGCGCGGTACGTGCCACACACTATCTCTCTCTCTCTCTCGCTCCGCACGGCCGCGCTGCTGCTGCTGGACGCGCGCTCGCTGCGCCTCAAGCGCCGCGTGCCCGCGCACACAGTCTACCGCCTCTCGCTCTCGCCCTACCACGACGACCTGCTCGTCGTGCACGTGCGCGCGGTACGTGCCACACACTATCTCTCTCTCTCTCTCGCTCAGCACGGCCGCGCTGCTGCTGCTGGACGCGCGCTCGCTGCGCCTCAAGCGCCGCGTGCCCGCGCACACAGTCTACCGCCTCTCGCTCTCGCCCTACCACGACGACCTGCTCGTCGTGCACGTGCGCGCGGTACGTGCCACACACTATCTCTCTCTCTCTCTCTCTCTCTCTCTCGCTCCGCACGGCCGCGCTGCTGCTGCTGGACGCGCGCTCGCTGCGCCTCAAGCGCCGCGTGCCCGCGCACACAGTCTACCGCCTCTCGCTCTCGCCCTACCACGACGACCTGCTCGTCGTGCACGTGCGCGCGGTACGTGCCACACACTATCTCTCTCTCTCTCTCGCTCCGCACGGCCGCGCTGCTGCTGCTGGACGCGCGCTCGCTGCGCCTCAAGCGCCGCGTGCCCGCGCACACAGTCTACCGCCTCTCGCTCTCGCCCTACCACGACGACCTGCTCGTCGTGCACGTGCGCGCGGTACGTGCCACACACTATCTCTCTCTCTCTCTCTCTCTCTCTCTCTCTCGCTCCGCACGGCCGCGCTGCTGCTGCTGGACGCGCGCTCGCTGCGCCTCAAGCGCCGCGTGCCCGCGCACACAGTCTACCGCCTCTCGCTCTCGCCCTACCACGACGACCTGCTCGTCGTGCACGTGCGCGCGGTACGTGCCACACACTATCTCTCTCTCTCTCTCGCTCCGCACGGCCGCGCTGCTGCTGCTGGACGCGCGCTCGCTGCGCCTCAAGCGCCGCGTGCCCGCGCACACAGTCTACCGCCTCTCGCTCTCGCCCTACCACGACGACCTGCTCGTCGTGCACGTGCGCGCGGTACGTGCCACACACTATCTCTCTCTCTCTCTCGCTCCGCACGGCCGCGCTGCTGCTGCTGGACGCGCGCTCGCTGCGCCTCAAGCGCCGCGTGCCCGCGCACACAGTCTACCGCCTCTCGCTCTCGCCCTACCACGACGACCTGCTCGTCGTGCACGTGCGCGCGGTACGTGCCACACACTATCTCTCTCTCTCTCTCTCTCGCTCCGCACGGCCGCGCTGCTGCTGCTGGACGCGCGCTCGCTGCGCCTCAAGCGCCGCGTGCCCGCGCACACAGTCTACCGCCTCTCGCTCTCGCCCTACCACGACGACCTGCTCGTCGTGCACGTGCGCGCGGTACGTGCCACACACTATCTCTCTCTCTCTCTCTCTCGCTCCGCACGGCCGCGCTGCTGCTGCTGGACGCGCGATCGCTGCGCCTCAAGCGCCGCGTGCCCGCGCACACAGTCTACCGCCTCTCGCTCTCGCCCTACCACGACGACCTGCTCGTCGTGCACGTGCGCGCGGTACGTGCCACACACTATCTCTCTCTCTCTCTCTCTCTCTCGCTCCGCACGGCCGCGCTGCTGCTGCTGGACGCGCGCTCGCTGCGCCTCAAGCGCCGCGTGCCCGCGCACACAGTCTACCGCCTCTCGCTCTCGCCCTACCACGACGACCTGCTCGTCGTGCACGTGCGCGCGGTACGTGCCACACACTATCTCTCTCTCTCTCTCTCTCTCTCGCTCCGCACGGCCGCGCTGCTGCTGCTGGACGCGCGCTCGCTGCGCCTCAAGCGCCGCGTGCCCGCGCACACAGTCTACCGCCTCTCGCTCTCGCCCTACCACGACGACCTGCTCGTCGTGCACGTGCGCGCGGTACGTGCCACACACTATCTCTCTCTCTCTCTCGCTCCGCACGGCCGCGCTGCTGCTGCTGGACGCGCGCTCGCTGCGCCTCAAGCGCCGCGTGCCCGCGCACACAGTCTACCGCCTCTCGCTCTCGCCCTACCACGACGACCTGCTCGTCGTGCACGTGCGCGCGGTACGTGCCACACACTATCTCTCTCTCTCTCTCGCTCCGCACGGCCGCGCTGCTGCTGCTGGACGCGCGCTCGCTGCGCCTCAAGCGCCGCGTGCCCGCGCACACAGTCTACCGCCTCTCGCTCTCGCCCTACCACGACGACCTGCTCGTCGTGCACGTGCGCGCGGTACGTGCCACACACTATCTCTCTCTCTCTCTCTCTCGCTCCGCACGGCCGCGCTGCTGCTGCTGGACGCGCGCTCGCTGCGCCTCAAGCGCCGCGTGCCCGCGCACACAGTCTACCGCCTCTCGCTCTCGCCCTACCACGACGACCTGCTCGTCGTGCACGTGCGCGCGGTACGTGCCACACACTATCTCTCTCTCTCTCTCTCTCTCTCTCTCGCTCCGCACGGCCGCGCTGCTGCTGCTGGACGCGCGCTCGCTGCGCCTCAAGCGCCGCGTGCTCGCGCACACAGTCTACCGCCTCTCGCTCTCGCCCTACCACGACGACCTGCTCGTCGTGCACGTGCGCGCGGTACGTGCCACACACTATCTCTCTCTCTCTCTCTCTCTCGCTCCGCACGGCCGCGCTGCTGCTGCTGGACGCGCGCTCGCTGCGCCTCAAGCGCCGCGTGCCCGCGCACACAGTCTACCGCCTCTCGCTCTCGCCCTACCACGACGACCTGCTCGTCGTGCACGTGCGCGCGGTACGTGCCACACACTATCTCTCTCTCTCTCTCTCTCTCTCGCTCCGCACGGCCGCGCTGCTGCTGCTGGACGCGCGCTCGCTGCGCCTCAAGCGCCGCGTGCCCGCGCACACAGTCTACCGCCTCTCGCTCTCGCCCTACCAAGACGACCTGCTCGTCGTGCACGTGCGCGCGGTACGTGCCACACACTATCTCTCTCTCTCTCTCTCTCTCTCGCTCCGCACGGCCGCGCTGCTGCTGCTGGACGCGCGCTCGCTGCGCCTCAAGCGCCGCGTGCCCGCGCACACAGTCTACCGCCTCTCGCTCTCGCCCTACCACGACGACCTGCTCGTCGTGCACGTGCGCGCGGTACGTGCCACACACTATCTCTCTCTCTCTCTCGCTCCGCACGGCCGCGCTGCTGCTGCTGGACGCGCGCTCGCTGCGCCTCAAGCGCCGCGTGCCCGCGCACACAGTCTACCGCCTCTCGCTCTCGCCCTACCACGACGACCTGCTCGTCGTGCACGTGCGCGCGGTACGTGCCACACACTATCTCTCTCTCTCTCTCTCGCTCCGCACGGCCGCGCTGCTGCTGCTGGACGCGCGCTCGCTGCGCCTCAAGCGCCGCGTGCCCGCGCACACAGTCTACCGCCTCTCGCTCTCGCCCTACCACGACGACCTGCTCGTCGTGCACGTGCGCGCGGTACGTGCCACACACTATCTCTCTCTCTCTCTCTCTCTCTCTCTCGCTCCGCACGGCCGCGCTGCTGCTGCTGGACGCGCGCTCGCTGCGCCTCAAGCGCCGCGTGCCCGCGCACACAGTCTACCGCCTCTCGCTCTCGCCCTACCACGACGACCTGCTCGTCGTGCACGTGCGCGCGGTACGTGCCACACACTATCTCTCTCTCTCTCTCGCTCCGCACGGCCGCGCTGCTGCTGCTGGACGCGCGCTCGCTGCGCCTCAAGCGCCGCGTGCCCGCGCACACAGTCTACCGCCTCTCGCTCTCGCCCTACCACGACGACCTGCTCGTCGTGCACGTGCGCGCGGTACGTGCCACACACTATCTCTCTCTCTCTCTCGCTCAGCACGGCCGCGCTGCTGCTGCTGGACGCGCGCTCGCTGCGCCTCAAGCGCCGCGTGCCCGCGCACACAGTCTACCGCCTCTCGCTCTCGCCCTACCACGACGACCTGCTCGTCGTGCACGTGCGCGCGGTACGTGCCACACACTATCTCTCTCTCTCTCTCTCTCTCTCTCTCGCTCCGCACGGCCGCGCTGCTGCTGCTGGACGCGCGCTCGCTGCGCCTCAAGCGCCGCGTGCCCGCGCACACAGTCTACCGCCTCTCGCTCTCGCCCTACCACGACGACCTGCTCGTCGTGCACGTGCGCGCGGTACGTGCCACACACTATCTCTCTCTCTCTCTCGCTCCGCACGGCCGCGC